TCCTTAATGAATACAGAATTTATATCTGTCCTTATCTGCTATTTGTTGAATACTAAAGTTGTAACTGGTAGCTATTAGATGCTCAGTAAATATTTCTAAGTTGAATTAATCCTCTTTCTGGAAGTAACTGTCCTAACCAACTCCAGAGTCCTTGGATTTGTTCCTGACCAGAGGACAGGACAGAAGTTGAGATTCAGGACTAAATAAAGGCTTTAAATGTAAATCTTGGAAGTTGTTACAGTGAATCAGATCATAGAATCTCTAGATCGGTATTTTGATTTTGTTAGAAGATCTGAGGGGTGAACGCAGTGGCAGAACAGCTTGTCCCTTGACATTCACCTTCACACCTGGGTTTGTCATTCTTTAACTCATTAAGCGAGGCAGGCAGTGTGAATCACTTACTGATAATTAGCTTTGGGGACAACATGCTGAACAATACACATAGATCTGCACCATCAAGATTTTCATTAGCCATAGCTGCATTGGCATTTTTCTGTCCTTGCCACAGCGACCTGCCTAGGCCTTGCCAATGAGATTGAACTTGCCAGTGAAGGTCTCTAGTTACCCATGATTCACCGTGCTGGAACCTGGAACTGAGGGCTCAGTTTAACTGGAAGGATAACTCTTGTTCTTTAATTGGCCTCGTGGGGTCAAATGATGTTGGATAGATAAGGATGTTGCAGATGGTGAAGCAAAGAAACAACGAATTTTGAACTTGAAAACTTGAGGTGTTTTCTGTTTTTTTTTTCTATCTAGTGATAATTGTATCCTTGCTACCTACCATGTATTAACTTCTTTTATGAATGATCATAGGAAATGGAGGCGATATCAGAGTATAGTGAATACTTTTTTGAGACAAGATGCTCAATCTGGCCTCAAACTCATCCTCCTCCTGCCTCTGCATCCCAAATGCTGAGATTGCAGGTGTGAGCCACCATACCTGACTTAAAATGGATTTTACTGTGTGTTTTGGAAACGGTGTATCTGAAAAGAATTAAATGTAGGTTTGTTATTAACACAAAGAGTGCTTTTGAGAGGAGGCAACAGTTATATCAGCAAACCTCAGGCTCCATGCTTGAGGAAGTACAGAACAGACCAAAAAGGCTTGTATGGCAGAACTTAGGACTGTTATCTAGGAGAAGGAGTTAAAAGAACTGGGAGTGTTTGTTTTAGAGGGAATTGGAGGGACCATGAATGCTGTCTTGCAATAAAGCAGGATTCTCATGGATAAGCAGATCAGACATTTCTGGATCCTTAGTGCTGGAGTGGGGAAGGATTAGTGGAAGGACTTCCTATACTCTTGAGTTGTTCAAAGATCGTAGCTGATACAGATAACCAGTGGCTCGTGCTTATAATCTTAGCTACTCAGGAAGCTGAGATCTGAGGATCATGGTTCCAAACTAGTCTGGGCAGGAAATTCTGTTGAGTCTCTTATCTCTGCCAATAAGCCTGAAGTAGAGCTGTGGCTCAAATAGTAGAGCACTAGCCTTGAGCAAAAGATGGTCAGAAACAACTCCCAGGTCTTGAGTTCAAGCCCCAGGACTGGCAAAAATAGGATGGTGGCCCAAGGAGCTTATTAATCTGGGCTTCACTACCCTATCACATAGGAAGAATGCAAGTTCTGATTTGTGCATGACCAACTCACCGTTTAACTTGCTGACACCAACCTGTGGTCATGGTCACAAATCTGCTGCTCAGGTGAGAAAGAAAAGACAGTTCTACTTAGAGACATCCTCTGCTATCCTTCCTGTCCCAGTTTGCCTTCATGAGCTGACTTTATTTTTCTGCTTCCTTCAAAACATTCCTCTAGCCTGTTGATTCACACATTCAACTTTTGGGAGTCTGCACCATTCCTCCTAATCTATACAGGAGACTTGCATATTACAGTACTGTATGAGTTGCTAAATGGTAGACACAGCCCAAATAATAGTGAAAAAGGAGTGGCTAAATATATTCTAGTTTAACTATTTTTACAATAAAAACAAAAAATAAATAAATTCTAGTGTACCCATAATATGAATTATTGTGCTGTTACAGAAAGTTAATTGTGCCACTAACTAGTAACCTGGGGAGATGGGCAGGATATTTAATTAAGTGAAAAAGAGAGGAGGAACATGTATAGTATGATTTTTATATTGAAAGAAAAATCTTTGATATATTATCTTATCATTAGATATTGGTGTGCAATGGCAAACGGGGTGGAAGAATAGAGATAAATTGTTAAATTAACAGTGGCTGAAAAGGTGAGGTATTGTAGGAACCTGAAAGGCAGAGGGACAGGAATAGATAGAGTGAAAGAAAGTAAAGGGGAATGTACCTGTTTATCTATCTGCCTATCTATGTATCTGTTATCTATGTATCATCTATATATTGACTATCCATCTATCAATCAATCATCTACCATCTAACATATAGATATCTTGGTATCTTCTATGTATGTTAACTTTTTCACCTATCTATTAACTGTTCTTTACCTTCACCGCTTGAGTTAAAACTTGTATTTCTTTTTCTTTTTTTTTTTTTTGGTTGGTTGTGGGGCCTGAACTCTGGGCCTGGGTGCTGTCCCTCAGCATTTCAGCTCAAGGTTAGCACTCTACCACTTGAGCCACAGCGCAGCTTCTGGCTTAAAACTTGTATTTTTTTTAGAAGACCTTAAAAAAGATAAAGAGATAAAATGCTGAAACAAGGATACAGGTTGACTCATTGTAACAATAGATGTACAAGACCCTATGTTGAAAACGAACTTTACAACTTTGGGGTGGGGACTGAGGGAGGAGTTTGGGAGGTGGGGAGGGAAGGGATGGTAGGGGAAAAACAAAGGGGGGGGTAACAATGCTGGATAAGAAATGTACTCATTACCTTACTCATGTAACTTTAACTCCTCTGTACAGTATCTTTACATTAAAAAATATATGTAAAAAAGACTTAAATTTGGAAAAATACAAAAAAGATAAAGAGAAAAATGAGACAGTTCTCCTTTAACATGTTAATTCCATTTTGGTTCTGTTATTTTTCTTTTATTAAATGGTCTTTTCTATTAAAGGTGATATAAAAGTCTTATTGTTAAAAAGTCTTTATTTTTACTCTTTTAAAGATGATATTTTTAAATGAAATTTATGGAAGATTTAAAGGTAAAATACTTTGAGTTCAAACCTAATATTTTATTATCAGGGAGATGAAGAATTGAAAAGCCCTTGTACTTTTTCTAAGTTGCTTCTTTTTGTTTTGCCAGTCCTGGGGCTTGAACTCGGGGATTGGGCACTATCCTTGAGCCTCTCTGTGCTCAAGGCAAGCACTCTACCACTTGAGCCACAGTGCTACCTGGGCTTTTTCAATGTATGTGGTACTGAGGAATCGAACCCAGGGCTTCGTGTATGCTAAGCAAGCACTCTACCACTAAGCCACATTCCCAGCCCTGCTTCCTTTTTTAAGGTATGAGAAGATATATTTTACTGTTTTTAACTTAAATATACTAAAAGCAACACTCTTTAAAATCATTCCTGACTTATCTTCTCTTTCCTAGATCTGAAGATTATTTTTATTCCTTTAAAAATGTTTTAAAATTATTACCTTTAAGTAGTTGTACAAAGGAGTTGCCATTTAGCAAATAAGGAAGGGGTTCATTTTCTCCTAATGATTAAGAAAAATACTTTCATTTCGTAAGTCTAGAGAATTCAGGCATAAGTTAGGAGCAGCTACTTTGTTAGGAAATTGGCTGGTAGGGACACAGTTTAAGACAGTTCTCATCTCTCTCTCTCTCTGTTTCTGTCTCTCTGGATGTGGTATGAGGGTGTGTGTGAGAGTGAGTATATGTGTGTTTGCTGGGGGAGTGGTGTGTCCTGATCACTTTTTCTGTGCTGCGATAGTAAAATGCTGCTCTTATGATTTGGATGTTTTCTACCAAATTATTTTTCATAATGAATTCTCATATTAGAATGTCTTCATCATATATTCATATTTGAAAGTGGTATTTCTTTCCATGAGAATAATTGTCTACATCTACAATAGCCTATATTGCAGAATTGGCTGGCAATGTAGCCCCTGCTTATGTTGATAGAGGAGTGAGATGAGAATAGAATGATACTGCTTTTATTTGCCTTGGATATAAATTCCAGCTGGTCCCTAATAGCTATACTCATTCACATAGTGACAAATGAACAAGCATGTCGGGTTGTGGGAACAGGAATACTTGCCAGCATATTTCTTTTGAGAATTTAGGTTTCCCTTTTATACATTAACTCATATTGAATGCATTCTGCTTCACTTGTTTGCATTTATGCACATAATACTACAAGTCATAAATGACTTTGGAAATCATATTTGAATATCATTAGCTGACCATTGAGTTCTAGATATTTGATCCAATTCAAACATCAGAACCATCAACCCCAAGCAGAACTTTATTCTAAATGCTACTATCTTGAGTCAGACAAACTAGGAAGTTCCAAGTGTTCATTTTACGGATAATACTAAAATTCCACCAAGGAGGGTCTACTTGAGTAGTGAGTGATTGGTGTGGTTTTTTTTTTTTGTCTTGACTTTAAATCAAAGACATCATCATGTTGGGGAAACTAGTCATGCATGCATAGTGACATCTTTCCACTTCACAGGATAAAAAAATTTTTTTCATGAGCCCTGAAACCTGACTAATTCTTATGGACCATTTGTGGGTCAGCAAGGGGTGAGGAGCTTGGGAGGAAATGTTCTTTGGAGCTGTGACCTGGGGAGAATAAGGGATGTTGTGATGGGGAAAGATGTTCTTACTGGTGAGCTTGTTCGGATTCTGCATTTGCTCTGGGTGTCTTGTCAAGAATTTCCTTGGAGTCTTGTTTGCACTGTCACCTTTGTTTTCTTGACCATTCTATCAGCTTTCCTCCCCAAATCACTGTTTCCTGTCACCCCCAGGCCAGTGTGAGAGGCTTCATGGCTGAAGTCCCTGTGTGTGTTGGACTCATGGTCTTCTGCTGCTTATCTCATGCTTTTTCTTTATGATATTTCAGCTCATCCACCATACACCATGTGCTTTAGAGTGAAATTCTACCCTCACGAACCCCTGAAGATTAAAGAAGAGCTCACCAGGTATTTCTCATTTGTTTTTATGTTTAATTTCACCTTTAACTGGCCAGCACCTCACTGTCTTACACACTAGATGTGCTTCGTGCTTGGAGTCAGTGTTTTGGCTTGGAATGCTTCTCTTACTCTAAATTGTCTTGGGATTTTTTTCAAACTATTGTCATTGGGAGTGTAATTAACGGCACAGAAAAAAGCTGTGGTTATGAGGGGGAAGTGCTCTCTGAAAACATCTGACAGTGGGGTGCTAAAAATAAGTAGAAGACAAATGTCTTTAGGTCGTGGGCAGATTCATAGCTAGTGCAGCCCTGTTCTGTAGTTTGGAGCTAAGCTTTTCTGGGAGGGACATGATCCCGGGACAGAGCAGACAGCTGGCTACTCTGCTTTCTGCTTGCTCAGTGACAACCACGGGGCAGCCTTCTCTTCAGTTGTAGACTAGTCTCAGCCCAACTTTGAATTTTCCAGATCTCAAACCTCTTCTCTTTCATCTCATTCGTCCAGGGATGCATCTAATACATCATCTAGGGGTTCTGATTCTCTCAATAAAGTTAGAAAATGTTTTTGTACAGGGGTGCCAAACTTCCCCTAGATGGAGAAGAGAGCTGTGGTGCACTTAATTCTTTACGAGGCACAGATTCAGTGACCATTCCTGCCTCAAATCACTGTGTGTAGTCATCTCTAAAATGATCTGTTTAAGTGCAAACGCTGTAGAAAAGCAAATTCAGACTGTACTGATGGTCGATGGAGGAAGGTTTGGTTTCTTGGAGATTTTTCTTTCTTCTTATCCAGATTCTCTGGCAACACTTTACCACAGTGGTGCTAAGGTTACTTTGGAACAGATGGTTTTGTTTTCTATTATTAAGTTGCCAACAGCCACTTAGCTTTATACTAGGTGGAAGGGCAGCAATAGAGGGTAGATGCTCTGTGTGTGTGTGTGTGTGTGTGTGTGTGTGTGTGTGTGTGTGTGTGTGTGTATAAAAAAGGGAGAATAGATAAGGAACTATTGTGATGGTAGTCAGTTTGCAATCTGTTCTACTTCTTTGTTTTTATTGAAGTAAAATTTATGTATCACAAGCATATAATATAAGACATACATACAACATAAACATACACATGTGTCAGCTGTTTTACCAGACCATTCACAATTGGACAATCATTACCAGTATTTAGTTTCAGAGCAGCTTCATCATCCCCCAAAACAAACCCTTTACACAGCAGTGGTCACTTTATTATCCCCGTTCTTAGCTCCTAACAACTGGCAACATACTCTGCTTCTATAATTTCCTATTTGTACATTTCATATGAATAGAATCATAAAGTGTATAGGCTTGACCTGGTTTTAGCTAGAAATTTTTATTTGATAAATTCTTTCTAGACTCCTCTTATCTTTGGGGGGAGAAGGACTGAATGAGTTACCAGAGGGAGAGAGAGAAAGAGAGAGATTTGTTCTACCCTAGGATGTTAACAGTGTAATTAGGAAGATCAAGTAAAAAACATATCTCATTTTGCTCATTTGGTTTCTTTGTAATCTTATCTGGAGGATAAGAATTGAATATATGTCACAACAAAAATAAAGGATGGATGTTTTGTTATTGAGACAAGTGTCATTTGAGAGTAAAAGAATACAAAGTTTTAGTTAATAGCTCTAATTAAGCCCCTTACAATGAACTTTACTAAATTTTCCTATTTTCCTGCTTTGACTGAATATCTCAGGTATGAAGAGTGGAATGTTGTGAACGCTTAGATGTTCCGAAAGGAAATTAAAATGGATAGGTGCCTTTGTAGAAATATATATGATATGTATGTATATATATACATATATATCACTTATGGAATTACAAACTAATTTAGAAACCTTGAAATGCCCAAGGTAATTGTAATTTCAACCTTTGTCTTGAAAACCTCTAGCTTTTTCTTGAGAGTAAGATGCTAAAAGATTCACTTGAAATTTAATGGATGAGAAGTTAAGATCATATGCATGACCATATTGACAAGTATAGAAATGATACACAAAAGGCAGATTTAACAGGACAGACCCACAAAAATATCCATATAAATTGCATTTGAGAGCCGGGCACCAGTGGCTCATGCCTGTAATCCTAGCTACTTCAGGAGGCTGAGATCTGAGGATCACAGTTCAAAGCCAGCCCCAGCAGGAAAGTCTGTGAGACTCTTATCTCCAATAAACCTCTAGAAAACGGGAAATGGCACTATGGCTCAAGTGGTAGAGCACTCGCCTTGAACTGAAGAGCTCAGAGACAGTGCCCAGGCCCCACAACCGACCAAAAAAAAAAAAAGCATTTGAAATAATCGTCCATCCCTCTTTATCCCTCCATTTGTGTAATCATCTTACAATCTTTTAGATTTTGAGACTTTTGTAAATGCTATATGCAATCAAATGTAACCAAAAGTTTGTTGGTTTTAATGTTTTAGTAAGAAGCATCTTTACATTCACAGTAAGTAGAGGAGCAATACCATTAATGGCAGCACAATAATTTATGCCCCAGATCTTTCTCTGTGTGTTAGTTGCTCCTTCATGCAGGAACGCTGCTAAAGAAAGATGCATCACTTTTTATGGCAATTACATTTTGAAAAATGAGCATTTTGAAGCTGAAGCCATTAAAAGACCCACTGGATTATGTTGAATACACAATAATCCTTGATTATCTCTAGAGACAACAGATGTGGTCTGTAGAGCTCAGAAAGCTTTCATCAAACCTGATTTCTGAATTAAGGGATTACCGTACAAACCTTCAGCTATCACTAAATAGTTACTTAAAGCTATTTTCACTACCAGGTTTGTGAAACAGTAGAAATGAATGCTTTCATAAAAGTTCAGTGCATAACTTCAAGAACTGAAAAAGAAGCAATGTGGCATTTGGCCTAGTAGCTTACAGTCCTTTAATGAAGGGAAGATTTCACCTAGTATTTGTGTGATCCTGGTATTCTGAATAATCTAGGGCCATGATTTTCCAAGTGAGGTCCTCAAACCAGCAGCATCCACAGTACCTAGAAACTTGTAGGTGGAGATTCTTGGTTTGTTGACCAGAGCTACTGAATCTGAAACTCTGGGGTAGTACCCACAAATCTGTTTTCATAAATTCCAGGCAATTCTAAACCACACCAAAATCTGAGAGCCATTATTATGAGACAGATTAGATTTTCAAAAGTACTAATTTCTTTCAACAAATATCATAGTACACAATCCAGTGGGTTTTTGTGTAATCACAAGGTTGTATCACTATCATGATGATCTAATTCAGAATGTTTTTATTACCTAGATAGGAAACCTGGTAATCAGGCAGTCTTTCTGCTTCCTCCCTTTATTATCATTCTTGAAAACCACTAATCCTGTTTCCTTTTATTTTTTTAAATCCTAGACATTTCACATAAATTGAATCATAAAATATGTGACCATTTTTATCTGGCTTTCTTGTATGTAGCATAATGTTTTCAAGATTCACCTATATTGTAGCATCTATCAGTAGTTCTAACTTTTTTTTTGGTGACAGTCCTGGGACTTGAACTCAGGACCACAGCACTGAGTTTTTGCTCAAAGCTAGCTATCTACCACTTGAGCCAGAGTTCCACTTCTGGTATTCTGGTGGTTAATTGGGGGTAAGAGTCTCACTGCACTGGCTTCAAACCATGATCCTCAGATTTCAGCCTCCTAAGTAGCTAGAATTACAGACATGAGCCACCAGTGCCTGATCTGTTCATTTTTATGACTGAATGCTATTCCATTTTTATGTATTTATGAATTTATTTTATGTATTCATCAGTTGGCAGATACTTGAGTTGTTGTTTTTTTTTTACTATAATGAATAATGCTACCATTCATGTGTGAATTTTGATGAGGGATTCAAGGCTGATTTGATTGGGTCTGGAGTAGCATCAAAGGGCACACAGCCTAAGTATTTCTTGAGAGCTCCTGCTGACTATTCTAATGTGGGGCGAGGGTTTAGAACCTTACTACTTAGAGTGTGGTAGGACCCGCAGGACAGCATCCCCTATAGGCTTCTATAAATACAAAATTTCCTGTCACCCAGGGCATGCTGAATCAGAATCCACATTTTAGCAAGATCTCCATGTGTTGATTGATGTGAGGAGGAATTTGGAGATCTAGTCTGGATTCTTACCTATCAGGTGTAATGTTTTTGCCTTGAGCAAATCACATCAAACTGAACATGAGAGTTGTTATTAATTTTACCGGTTGAAATTCAAAATTTATTAGCTACTCTATCTGTAAAATGGAAACAGAGGTTTTCACCCGAGTCTTCTGTGTCCCCAGTGCCTAGCACAGTGTATGGCATCAGGCAGATGTGAGATAAAGAGCTGTAGAATGGAAACACCAACTTGTTTCTGAATCCTTCAGTGTGTCTGATGTAATTTCAGTGAACCAGTATCCAGCAATGGTGAGTTCCAGTGCCCTGGGGCAGACAGAATCTCCAGAACCTTAGCACCCTAATCACCCTCTCTGACCCTTCATTTCTTTGCCTTTAAAATGGGAATTGTGCATGTTGCTTCTCATGAGCTAAGCCAAGATCTGATCAATTGAGCATTGGAGGCATGTTCTCCAGAGGAAGTGAAATATATAGCATATATGTATATAAGTGTAAAAATTGGACTTACATTATTATGGAGACCAAGAAGTCCCACAAATCTTCCATCTGCAAGCTGGAGGCCCAGCAGGGAAGCTACCAGCATAGTTAGAAATTCTGAGAACCAGAGAGCTGATCATGCAGATGACAGTCTAGGCCTGAAGACTTGAGAAACAAGACCACCAAGAGCTAATGTACCAGCTCACACAGTCAGTCAGAGTGAGTTCAACCTTCCTTGGTTTTTTTTTGTCCCATTGGGTCCCTCAATAGATTGCATGATGACTTCCCACACTGGAGAGCGCCTTCTACTCTGTTCAGTTCATCCATTCAAGTGCTAATCTCCTCTAAAAATGACCTCACAGATGCCCAGAAACAATAGTTACCACATAGCTGGGCATCCTATATCCCACATAAATTAAATGTAAATTAAACCTCTCATAGTAGTAACTGGAACTGTCTGAAAGGTACCCCAACCTACAAAGAACATGAAAAGAAAAAGTAATTTGGTCTCTAGGAATTAAACCCTAAAATACACATGGAAAGGAATCTGCATACATCTATGAAGTTACTTTGGTCAAAACAAATAAATCCTAGGCCTGAGTTGAAGGAAAGAATTCACTTGGCTAAGAGAAGCCAGAAAATCAGAGCAGCATGGAGGAACCTAGTAGCAAGGTGGCCAGGGACAGTGAGAAAGTTAACCAGAACCAGGGATTGTAAACTGGACACTCTGGCTGGTTTTTGTTTGGCACTGCAATATTTTAAAAATCCACTTGTTGCAACACTTCAGTGATTTCACATGCAAATCCAGTCTCTTTGATTTTCTCTAAAAGTGGAGACATCATTCTGCTTTATTACAAGGCAACATGGGTTGGAGCCATAGGGAGCCTGGCTCACTGGGCTGCTTCTCTGTGCTCTTACATCAGCCTATTTCCCTGGCCACATATCTGTCTGGCCTTGCAGGCAGCTAAGCTTGCTATCCCTGGAGAGGGATGAGACCATGACATTAAGTGACACCTCCAGTTGTGAGCTGGCTGGCTTTCTAGCACCAAAACAAGTCTCTTTTGGTTCCTGTGTCTGTCTACCCCTGAGAAATTGGTATTGTCGTAAAAATTAAATCTAGTTCTGATATTCCATTTCAAACAGAACTTGGACAGCAAGTACCAGAGCTGTGGCGGAGGACAGTGGCTATGCTTGTACCTAAGCAGGGATGGAGAGTGGCTGCTGAGTCTGTGGCTCACGTCAGGTCTTCTCGTGCTTCTTTGCAAAGGCTGAGCCTATCCAACTTTGGAAGCTCATAAGGTCTATGAAGACATAGATGCCCTGGATTATCCATATTCCTTGGGCTCTTCTCAATTTCTCTCCACCTGCTGTAATCTACGAGGAGGAGCCTGGTATGCCTCGTTGCTTCCTGAATCTTGGCAGGTCTCCAGTGATACTGATAGACCAAGCATGAATTGTCCTTCTTTCAAGCCTCAGCCAAACTTTGGGGGTAACTGTTTCTTCTTTTGTGTTGCAGGTACCTTTTGTATTTGCAAATTAAAAGAGATATTTTTCACGGTCGACTGCTGTGCTCTTTTTCTGATGCTGCCTACCTCGGTGCTTGTATCGTTCAAGGTGAGTCTGGCTTCCACCTGCCCACCCCTGCTATTGAACTGGGCTATAGAAGTTTGCTCACCTTACTTCTCCCCTCACCTATGTCTATCCTTCCTGGGTCTGCTAGTGGAAGCCAGGTTGGGTTGTGTATACAGAGCGCCTTCAACTCACCTTTTCTCTTGAGCCAGTGGAGTCCTTGTGGAAGATTAAACTGCAGTGTTCACAGTGGGTCTTTACATACTTTAAGGCCCCAAAGGAGAGCTTAGGGGATCTTTTACAAAGAGACTTGGAAGGTGGCTCAGTGGTAGAGGGCTTGCCTTGCATGCATGAGGCCCTGGGTTCGATTCCTCAGCAACATATAAGCAGAAAAAATAAAAAAGCCGGAAGTGGCGCTGTGGCTCAAGTGGTAGAGTGCTAGCCTTGAGCTGAAGAGCTGAGGGACAGCGCTCAGGCCCAGAGTTCAGGCCCCATGACCGGACCAAAAAAAAAAATACAGAGACTGGATTGTATGGTTTTCTAAGAAGCTCTTAAGGGCTGTGGGTAGTCAGGGCTCTAAGCTCCAGTCCCCAGATACTGGGCCTATTGGGCAGGTAGAGGAAGAAACCATGCCCAGTGAGTTGGTTTCACACAAGGTTATTCTGAAGCATATATATATATATATATACACACACACACACACACACACACACACACACACACACACACACACATATACTAGTATATTCATCTATACTTGTATATTTATATATATACTTGTATATTTATATATATACTTGTATATATATACTTATTTCATGTGTGTGTATGTGTGCCTCTAATCTCTCAGCTTTTCTAGCCTTGTGATAAGTGAGGAGACCACCAGTTTATAATCCCTCATAGCTCAATTTGAATCTTTCTTCCCCTTTCCTGGGTAATTTCACCATAGGTTAGTGACTTGAGGCCTCCAAGCGTTGGGATCTTGATGTAGTCAATGGGGGTAGTCATACCTCCTTCTAAGTAATGTGATTTCCTGAGATCACCCTGCACCAGGAGGGGAGAGAGCTGGCCCATTAGCGGTAGTTATTGTTCTCTTTAAGGTTGAGCAGGCTGTAAGGGTTGACATCAAAGTGAAACAGTGAATGTATCAACCTTGGCTGGCTTCTGGATGCCTCTACCCATGAGAGAATGTAACTTCAAGACCTGGGGCAGTAAATGGCTGGGAATGGGCCCAGCACCCAAGAGAAGACTGGCTCAGGAGTTCTAATCTCTGGGCTTGGAGAAGGCAGATAGCTGGCTGCAGAGATTTCTGAGGGGCCCTATTCCCCTTCTCTCTCTGGTATAAATGCTCATGATATGTTTATAAGAGAGCAAGAGGAGAGGGTGAGGAATAGGGAGGAGAAGGGAGAAAGGGGGAGAACAAAAGAGAGGGGAGAAAGAGAGAGAGAAGAAGGTATTACTCCCTGCCTGAGTATTACATTTTTACAATAGATCTAGAAAACAGAACAAAAGAGCTTGTGACATGCCATCAGCTGATCACATGTGTCAGTCTCCTGCCAATCACAATGCCAAGCCTCATTCACAAATTAAGAGAGAAATTTGTCCTTTCTGGGGATCCCACAGTGGCCCACTGCTATCCCTATAGAATACCCCGTGCTGTGAAATAGTTCTTTTGGCCATTTTTCCAGGAGTGTTTGTTTGCTGAGTTTTTTGATTTTGTCAGTCATGGGGCTTGAACTCTGGGCCTGCTCTTCAGCTCATGACTAGTGGCTCTACCACTTGAGCCACAGCGCCACTTCTGGTTTTCTGAGTGGTTTATTGGAGATAAGACACTCATGGACTTTCCTGCCCAGGCTGGCTTTGAACCTTGATCCTTAGATCTCAGCTTCCTGAGTAGCTAGGATTACAGGCGTGAGCCACCAGCACCTGGCTGGTTGCTGAGAATTTTGAGCTGGGTATTTCCTCTTCCCTGAGAGTCAACTAGTGCTAGGTATCAGATGGTAAACTCAGTGGGGATATTCCAATTTAAAGTAGTCAGTATTATGCCAAGTACTGGTGGCTCACACTTGTGATCCTAAGTACTCTGGAGGCTGAGACCTAGAGAATCAAGATTTGAAGCCAGCTTAGGCCTGAAAGTCTAAAAGACTCTATCTCCAATTAACTAGCAAAAAGCTGAGTTGGAAGTATGGTCAAATGGTAGAATGCCAACTTGTATGTAGATAAGCAAGCCAAAAGAGAGTGCAGAGCCCTGAGTTCAAGCCTTAGTATTATTACACAGATATATTCTGCCCGCCCCTCACACACACACACACACACACACACACACACACACACACACACACAAGTGCTCAGGACTGTGAGAAGCAGTTCTAGGAGTCTGACTGTGCTTTTGAAAGCTGCCTCTTACCCCAGAGTAGAAGTATGTTAAAAACTCCCCATCCTCTTCTTTCCTGGTGAGGTAAAGGCATCCCCGGTTAGGGCATGCCATCTCAGGAAGGGAAAAGGGAATCGATGCTAATCCAGGCAGAACACAAGCACAGGAAGATTTCAGAATGCATTTAGGCATTAGTGAATTATTGTCAGTTCTCCAAGGACAAGTTGATATGGGTCTGTAATACAAAACTCTCTATCCTGTTCTGTGCTTGAAATAAAGCCACAAAGTCTCCATGCAGATGGGCAGAGTCCTATTTCAGCCCTCTATGCTATTACTGCTGACCACATACACCAGCTCTGCAGAGAAAGTAGCATAAGAAAAGGACAGGGAGGGCTTTGAGTGGATCTTTTGTCTCTAAAATGCAATATCTGTGGGTCAAGTCTTCTGATGCTCAGGGTGAATAGCAAGCAGCTCTGAAGGTCATCAGCAAATGTGGATAGCAATGGACTCTGTCAGGGCATTGTTCCTACAGAGTGAAGAGGAAGGTGAAGTCCCTGGTCAGAAAGTGGGAGGCCACGTGGTGGTGCAGTGTTTTGCTTGCTCGTGCCTTTTTCAGGAGTATGTTATAAGCTTCAGTATATTCTGGATGAGTAAAAACAGCCAGAGTTTTGGCACCTGGATCCAATAAACATATTCAATGCATATAAAATGTAGGGATTTTTTTTGTCCCATAATACACATTGGAAAACAAACACAGAATGTCCTTGGGTTCTCTTTATATCTTTTCTTGGTGAAAATGTCTGCCCTGTTCTTTCTACAAAACACCATCAAGAGGGAATTAAGGCTGGGAATGTGGCTTATTGCGTGGCATGAAGCTCTGGGTTTGATTCCTCAGTACCACATAAACAGAAAAAGCCGGAATTGGCGCTGTGGCTCAAGTGGTAGAGTGCTAGCCTTGAGCAAAAGCAGCTCAGGGACAGTGCTTAGGCCCTGAGTTCAAGCCCCAGGACTGGCAAAAAAAAAAAAAAACAGGGAGGGGAGGATTAATTTATACTCTCTGCTTTGCTTAGTTTGTCTAACTTGTGGTGTTTTAGCTTCTGCTACATATTCTAAGGTGAGAGTAGTGGTCTATTCCTCTGATCCTGTCTGCTACATCTAATGAATCCTCCTTGGCACCCCTCCCTCCCTCCCTCTGTTCGTTCATTCCTTCCTTCCTTCCCTTTTTCCTACCTTCCTTTCTTTTTGATTGTACTAAGGCTTGAAATTAAGGCTTTTTGTTTGCTAGGCAGGCACTCTTATCGCTTGAGCCACATTGCCAGCTTATTGGTTGAGACTGGATTTCACCAACTGTTTGCCTGGGCTGAGCTGTGTTTTTCCCAGTCTCCACCTTCCAAGTGGCTGAAATAAGTGTGACACCATGACCAACTCAACACCATTCTTCCTCAGACTTTTGTTCTGTTGTCTTCTAAACATGTATATTTGAAATTAACTTTCTGAGTTGTTTGGGGGTCTATTGTGATTTTCCTGTCAAGTTAACTTTCTGTCACTCTAACGAATATCTGAGATAATCAGCCTGTAGAGGTAAACTATTATTTGGGTCAAGTCAATTATTTGGTGCCAGTCCATGGTTGCCTGCTGTCCCTACTGTTTTGGGGCTTGTGGTAACACAGTGCATCATGGCAGGAACAGGTGACAAAACAAAAACCACTTGCCTTATTAGGCAAGACAGTAAAACCAAAATCAGAGAGAGCTATGATCCTATAATCCACTTTGAAGTTACACCCTTAATCACCTAATGACTTCTTGTTCAACCACCAATGACCTAAAGACCTCTTGCTAAGCCCTACCTCTTAAAGTTTCTACTGTCTACCAGTAGCACCAAGCTGAGGACCAAACATTTAACCCTTGGCCTTTGGGTGAGACTTCCAGATTCTATGTAGAATCTTATTCCTTTGGAGTAAGTAACTGGATGCCTTTTTTTATTGCAGAATTCTTGTGTCTAGCAGACGAGATTTTTTTCTCTGACTTCTGTTAATGAGGCTCTATACTATGAGGAAGGTATTCAATACCTTATTCATCTCTTTGTTTATGTTCTCTAAACACTTACTGAGCAGCTGTTGGGAGGTAGACGCTACAGTGCAAAGTCCATGTAAGAAGACAGGCAAGTGAGCAGACTATTGTAATGACTAAATGAGAGGCATGTAGGTTAGGTTCCTGCTGTGAGCAAGGACAGCCAGGGTACTCTTGGAGTAGCTGATTTTGGGATCTGTAATGTCCATGTCTGTACTTCTTTAGAAGGAGCCTGCCCCCAACAGGCTCCCAACAGAGAAAAAAATACCATCACCCTTTAGCCTAACCATAAACTGATCTTACTCATTCTTTACTTCAAATTCCTCAGATTTTTCTGCATTTGATTTCTCTTTTAAGAAGTGCTTGGACTTGTTTGAAACTTCAGACTATCTGGTATGTGTCATTTGCCGTGTCAGTCATGGGTAAGAATTAGAACTACAGGCTATTTAGTCCTCTTGGCATAAGTATTTAGAAGTCCTTATTCATAAAAAGGCACCTCTGGTTTCTGAAGACAGAATTAAAGAGGCTCTGAGGGAGGAGGGAGCAGGGCCTGTGATGGGGGCAACCCTATATGCTATCCATAGAACTTCTATTTCTGCTACATATTTGGTGAGGATACTTGTTTGCGGTGTGAACAAGGTCTCTCCTCATCCCCAACTCTGTCAGCTGACATGTGCACTGGAGATGGCCAAGTTCCATGCCAGTAGTCCATTGTCTCATCTCCTGTAGACATGGAGATGTTGGCCAGCTCACAGGGGTGTGTGCACTCACATGTGTATGCTGTTGTGGGTGTGCATGTTTTTAGTATGTTTTATGTGTACTTCCCTTGGAACTGAGGTTGAGTTAATCATCAGTTCATGGCTCACTATCATCATCCATCCCTTTGGGCCTATCTACTGATTGCTGGATCCATTTTTTCCATTCTCCATTTTCTTTCCTTAAGGCAACAGTTGACTGTCTTTGTATATAGCCATATATTATAATTAATATGGTTTCATGCTCATAGACTTCTACATTCCTTAACTGAGACTATGGGCCTCATTTATTTTCTCATTTTTGTGCTCAGCATGCTATTTTAGGATTCAGCTATGTTGCTAGGAACATCTCTTGTTGCTTTTAGCCACCACAGAGCATCTTGTAGGTGCATCTCCTATCTTCACTTGTCAGTTCCACCCATGAACACTCAAGCTGCCTTCACTTCTGAGGCTCATGACTGATACTGTGATAGGAAATCTTGAACATATCCTTTCTTGCATCTAGAGTGTTTCTAGGATATATGCCCAGACGAGGGATTTCTGAGTCATAATATTTGGCTAAATACTCCCACCTTGCTCTCCAGAAGAAGTACATCTATCAAGAATCCCCAGAAGTGCACAAGTGTTTCTGTTTACTCATGTCTCTGCCAACTTCTAATTTTTTTTTGGCAATGTTATGGATGTGAAGCAACATCTTCCTTTGGCTCCCTGGAATCTGATTACTAATGAGTATGATTACACTAGTTTTGCATGTCCTCTTCTGTGAGGTTACCTGTTTATCTCTTTGACCATTTCTTGATTGATTTTCCTAGCCATTTGCGTATTGACTTATGTACAGTTTTCTTTATTCTAGGAATCTGGCCTTGTAAACTTGTGGTTTTGTGACTATATTCTTCCAGCTTGACATCTCTCTTCCTTTGACTCCGATACCATCCAGTGAACAGAAATACTGTAGGGGTTTTTGTGTGTGTGTGTGTGTGTGTGTGTGTGTGTGTTTCCGTTTGTAGGGCCTGAACTCTGGGCCTGGGCACTGTTCCTCAGCTCTTCAGCTCAAGGTTAGCACTCTACCACTTGAGCCATAGCACCACTTCCAGCTTTTTTTCTGCTTATGTGGTGCTGAGGAATCAAACCCAGGACCTCAGGCATGCAAGGCAAGCACTCTACCATTGAGCCACCTTCCCAGCCCAATACTGTAGTTTTTATATAATCAAATTATATAATCAATTTCTGTCCTCCAACCAATAGTACTTGGAGTTTTCTTTTTGGCAATCCTTCCTCCTGTGTTGTATATAGACCATAGGTTGTTTTAAGAACTGCAATTTAACTTCTGTGACGAAGCTTTGAGGAGCATTACTTTCTTCATGGATTTGCTCTTTTCCAGTCATCAGAAGATTTGTCAATGAAGGAATAATAGATAAGAATAACAGAGCTGGGCCTGGGAAGGTGGCTCAGTGGTAGAGCGCTTGCCTTGCATGCATGAGGCCCTAGGTTCGATTCCTCAGCGCCACATAAGCAAAAAGAAAAGCTGGAAGTGGCGTGGTTGCTCAAGTGGTAGAGTGCTAGCCTTGAGCTGAAGAGCTGAGGGACAGCGCCCGGGCCCAGAGTTCAGGCCCCACGACCGGACCCCCCCCCCCAAAAAAAATAACAGAGCTGGATGTGAATTCTTTTTTGGGGAGGGGGAGGGGGAGTCTGCTCATGGGCCTGAACTCTGGGTCTGGGCGCTGTCCCTCAGCTCTTCAGCTCAAGGCTAGCACTCTACCACTTGAGCCACAGCGCCACTTCCGGCTTTTTTCTTTTTGCTTATGTGGTGCTGAGGAATCAAACCCAGGGACCTCCAGCATGCAAGGCAAGTGCTCTACCACTGAGCCACCTTCCCAGCCCCTGTATGTGAATTCTTGAATGTGCTCAAGGCATGCTCATGCCCTTTCTACTTCAGAATTTTAGTGGCAGCTAACTTTGCCTAATGCAGTTTTCCCACCATCATTAGTCTACTCTCCCAGACCATAACTCCTGTTTCTTCCAAGATGCCTACTCCTTCTGTCTCACTTTCTTTTGAAAGCTCTTAGAATCAGTAGAAAACATTTACACGGCCAGACATCACTTCAGCTTCCCCAGACTGAGGTTACTACCTGTTCTCCTGGGTCCTTAGGTATTTGGAGATTTGCAGGCATTTCTTCTCCCTCTCCCCACTGATTTTTCTGAAGGTTCATTGCTAGAATATAGCTACAACCTTAATATAATACACCATTTGTTCTTAGATAGTTTCCCTTGAATTTACAGAACAATAGTTATTTTTAACTTTTTTTTTTTGTCAGTTGTGGGGCTTGAACTTTGGGCCTGGGTGCTGTCCCTGAACTCTTCAGCTCAAGGTTAGTGCTCTACCACTTGAGCCACAGCACCATTTCCAGTTTTCTGGTTATTAATTAGAGAAGAGTCTCATGGACTTTCCTGCCTGGGCTGGCTTTGAACTGCCATCCTCAGATCTCATCCTCCTGAGTAGCTAGAATTGCAGGCATGAGCCACCAGTGCCTGGCTTAATTTGTTGTTGTTTTTTTTTAAATTTTGTTGTAAAGGTGATGTATATAGGGGTTGCAGTTACATAAGTCAGGTAATGAGTATGTTTCCTTTTGAACAGTGTCACCCTCTCCTCCATTCTTTCCCAGTTAACAATAGTTACTTCTAATGCAGCCCTCTCGGGTTCTTTCAATTTGACTTAAAAAAAATTAAATGGTGTAGACTGCAAACCCAAGCCCTCAATTCTAGCCAAGGACTTCTTGGACTCAAGAGACCATATTAACTATGGATGGAATGTTGAGAAAGGTTCCCAGCATAGGAAATATTGGGGATGTGATTAAAATTTTATAACTGAAAATATTAATTAACAAACATTATAGAGTCTTACAGTGTCCAGTGTGGTGTTTTGAAATGTGCCTATTTATGAAATGGCTACATTGAACTAATTATAACCTCACACACTTAACCATTGTACTGTGATGAGAATATTGAAATCTATCTTCTTAGAGATTTTCAAGTGTAACACATTGTCATTAACCTCAGCCACCACTCTTGATCTCTTGAATGTCTTGACTTCTCCTGTCTGACTGAACTTTTGTATCATTTGGCTAACTTCCTAGGGTTGTTTTATTGATCATAAGAATTAATATGCAAGCTGTATGCCTGTGGCTCATGCTGTAATCCTAACTACTCAGGACACTGAATATTACATCTTGAAGCTAGCTAGGCAGGAAAGTCCTTGAGACTCTTATCTACAATAAACCGTCAAAGAACTAGAATTGGCATTATGGCTCAAATGGTGTAGTGCCAGCCTTGTGCAAAAAAAAAAAAAGTATCTTGTATTTGAGCCCCAGGACTTGCATGAAAAAAAAAAAGAAGTGGTAGAGTGCTTGCCTTGTATGCATGAGGCCCTGGGTTTTATTCTTCAGCACCACATAAGCAGAAAAAGCCAGAAATGGTGCTAGAGTGGTAGAGTGCTAGCCTTGAGCTGAAGAGCTGAGGGACAGTGCCCAGGCCCAGAGTTCAGGCCCCATGACCGGACCCCCCCACACACACCCTCACCCTGCCAAAAAAAAAAAGAATATATTACTAAGATTTTTTGTGCCAAAGGGCAACAATGCAAAACACTCTGATATTCCTTGGGAAATTTAAATCAATAAATTCTTCAGCCTTTCAAATATCCATAGTGTTTCCATTGAGAAGCAGTGGTTCAAGTTAATTTAGTATATAGGTAAAGTAAATGAAACTCAAAGAAGGTTGACAAGTGCCCAGACTCACCGCACAGATAGGAATGGGTCTCTAGACAGGGAGGTGTGGTCTTCCCAGGACACATTCTCCATGCACCATGCTTGTATTGTTGTCTTATATGTCTTCTTTTCTTTACTTTTCACTGGGTACAGCTGAGCTTGGTGATTATGATCCTGATGAGCATCCTGAGAATTACCTCAGTGAGTTTGAGATTTTCCCGAAGCAGTCACAGAAACTGGAAAGAAAAATAATGGAAATTCACAGAAATGATCTCAGGTAATATGGTATGAAATGTGAAATGATACAGGCGAGGAAAACATGCTTCCTGTGGGGAATGCAGAATCCATGGAGTGAAAATGCTAATACCACATGGGTGGCATGTTTTAGGTGACCACAAGATCTTGGGCCCTTTAAGGACCCCTGGTACTCTTCATCAGTGACAATTTCAGTAGTGTGGGGCCTGGTAGCTGTTTATGTTATGTTTGATTCGATCTATATATTTTCTTATACACATGGCTTTCTAACTCTCTCCAGTTTCTTTTTCTTTTTTTTTTTTTGTGCTAGTACTAGGGCTTGAGCTCAGAGCCTGGCTGCTGTCCCTGTGCTTTTTTACTCAATGGTGGTACTCTACCACTTGAGCCACAGTGCTACTTCTGGCCTTTTTGGTGATTCATTGAAGATGAGTTTCACAGACTTTCCTGTTCAGGCTGCTTTCAAACCATAATCCTCAGATCTCAGCCTCCTGAGTAAGCTAAGATTACAAGTACAAGCCACAGACACCCAGCCACCTAGTTTCTGAAAGTGAAATATAAGGCAAATGAACAATGCTTTCTGATTTGAAATTTGTGTTGCCTTTTCCCCTCTTGTGGGCTTTGCTGGAATCCTTGATTTCAAGTAGAGTAGAACTCATTGATATGGCTCCTTCCCTTATCTATGATGTTTCCAGATTATCATACGGAGCCCCAGTGGTCTGTAAAAGGACCATGTTCTACAGAGTATTCACTGGATACCTGACACTATTCTAAGCCCTCGGCATACACTGACTCATTTATTTTTCACAACATCTCAGGAGCTAGGAACTAGGGAACTCCAAAGAGGTCTGCCTGCATGTACAGCCTGTGCTTTTAAGCACTGGACAAGGCATGCTTGTACTCTGCATATGTTATGGGAAATAAAATGAAGCATGCTTAAGACTTATCACCAGTGTGGACCTCAGGTAAATCTGGTATTCTAGTCTGTAATTAGCATGTAGATCCCGTGCAGATCATAGAAAAGCAAACACTTTCATAATAATGGCAAGCACAGGCCTGTTATGATAAGTATTGATAGAGAAATGCAAGATCCGAGATGTTGCCATCTTCTGGGCCTCTGATAATTACAGCCACTGGATTATGAATTCAGGAACAAATAGCTGCCCTCTTTGTGAAGGCATGCAGCACTCTCCTTGCTTTGTACAGGCACGCCCCCTTCTGGTAAGTATGGAAAGAGCACAAGTGTGTACAGGTTCTGTTTGGAAAAGCAATCTCTACTCTTGGGAATAAAGATGATCAGGCACCAAAACATTGCAGTTATTTCAGAAATCAACATGCCCCCACAATAGGCTACTCAAGAAGCTGAGATTTGAGGCTCATATTTCAAAGTCAGCTTGGGCAAGAAAGCCTGTGAGATTATTCTCTCCAATTAACAACCAAAAATCTGGAGATGGAGCATAAATCTGGAGATGAGTATAAAAGCTCAAGGAAAGTGCCTAGGCCCTGAGTTCAGGCCCCAGGAACAGCCTCAGGAATGGCCATGCACGCACACAAACATGTGCATGCACATACACAATACATATATCTATGTATATATGTGGCAAATATATTTAACTTGCACTGTTCTTATACACTTTGGGGATAAGTTCTGGAGTTAGCAATAGGCTTCCCATAGTCCAGTTATATTGAAGGCAATGTGGCTTAGAGGTGCTTCCTAGGACCACATAATTAGATCTGTTAGATGAAGGATTTGTATCCCTTATGTGGATTACCTGGAAAATCTTTTGTGACCAGAATTTAGTCTTAGATACTTCAAATGTGTCTTAGTAACAAATGTTTATTTAGCCCTTATTGGAGGTCAAACTGCTTTATGTGTTCCATGTTCACTGGGTCCTCCCAAACTCTCCAAGGTAAGGGCGGGTTGAAGAAAGTACAGCCTGGAAAGACTGCTACATAGCAGCAGTCAGAACATGAACATTGGCTTTTGCTTATATGAAGATGCTACCCTGCACTGAGAAATTGTGGGAAACAGATAGTTAGCTGGGTATTTCTTGGTGTTGCCATGGCAGTGGTACCCAAGATGGGCACTGGGGGTAGGAGGAGTTAGTAATTTCTGCCTCCGGAGCTTCAAAGACCTGAATAAAGAATCAGAGATGAAATTGAAAGAAGAGAATCTTGAGAGACATTGCAGTAAGACTTGGTGACTCACTGGATTTTATGAGGAAATGGATGGATCAAAGAAAATTCTTTTGTCCCTTCCTTCCTTCCTTCCTTCCTTCCTCTCTCCCCGCTTTCTTTTCACTTGTTCTTTCTTTATGAGCCAGAATTGGCACTTGAACTCAGGGCCTGGATGCTATCCTTAGCCGTTTTTTTTTTTTGAACAAAACACTAGTACTCTTCCACTTGAGCACCATCTCTAGTTTTTTGTTAGTTGATTGGTGATAAGAGCCTCATGGATTTTCCTCCCTGGGATGGCTTTGAACCACAGTTCTTAGCTCTCAGCTTTCTTAATAGCTCAGATTACATGTGTGAGCCACCAGCACCCAGCCCAAACTGTTTCTTAACAATCACATTATATATTGGACCCTGTGCAAGCACTTGGCTTTGCTGGTTTCTCTGACAGTGCTCATCATGATTTAGAGTCACCCATGCTTTATGAATATCATACTTTATGGGCTAATATTGATATGAAGTAAAAAGTTTGTCAAACAGCCTTGTGTGAGTCTTTACAATATCACTGACTAAAAAAGTTGGTTTTTAGAGAAGTTTGGGTTCATATCAAAATTGAAGGGAATGTTTGGATACTAGTAACTCACGCCTGAAATCCTAGCTTGCAGATTGGGAAGAAAACTTCTTGAGACCTTTATCTCCAATTAACCAGCAAAATCTGGAAGTGGAGGTGTGGCTCAAGTAGTAGGGTGCCAGCGTTGAGCAAAATAAAGCAAAGCCCCACTTCTGGTACATTAAAAATAATGGAAAGGAGCGGGCAGATAATTCCCACATGCCCTCTGCCACCACACATGTTGTTACTTATTTCTTCCTCGGAACAGTCCATTAGTAATAATCAATCAATGTCAATACATACTAATGTCAAGTAGGGTTTATGCTTGATTTTCATTCCATGAGGGTGGACAAATGTTCAATAACGCATCTCCACTATTATAGTGCCATTTGTAATAGATTCTCTGTTCTAAAAACCAGTCCCCTGTCACCTAAGCTCTGGAAACCACTGATCAATTATTATTTTCTGTAGGTTTGACTTTTCTAGCATGTCATAGATGGGAGAATACAGCTTTTCAGGTTGGATTTTCACTTAGTAATATGTGTTTCCGCTTCCTCCATTTATATCCCTGGCTTGATTGCTCACTTTGTTTTTTTGAACCACTGACTAATATTTCATTGTCTGGATGTGTGATGCATCACTGATCACTTATTCATTCACTTACTGAGGACAACTTGGTTGCTCCCAAGTTTGAGTATAGTGTTATTCATAATAAATAGCATCATTATCATTCAACGCCTATGTGAAGGTTTTTCTGTGGGTGTATGCTTTCAGCTTCTTTAGGTAAATGCCAGAGGAGTATGCTTTGCTACAGCATATTGTATCAGTATGTTTAGTTTCATAAGAAACTGTTTTCTACTGTCTATACCATTTTGTATTCCTACCAGAAATGAACGAGAGTTCCAGTTGCTTTACATCCTTGCCAGCATTTGATGGTGTTGGTGTTCTGGATACTAGCCATTCTAATCACTGTATAGATAGTAAGGATTTATTTTTTAAAGATTTCATAGAGGCATCTTTGTACCTCTTAATACCCTGTGAACCAGAGGCTATGAAGTTATATCATTTATTTTATTGAACATGTGTTATGTTAAAAATCTACTGGGTCTGAGTTGTATTTAAATAAAACTTTTTGTAGCTACACAGTTCTTACTTTGTAGAAATAATAGTAATTGGGCCACAAATATTAAGTTGGCCATGACTGAATAAACTTTATTGACAAACCAGATGAGCGTCCTCAGGTGTATCACAAGAACTAGTTTTCTGACCCTGTTCTAAAGAACAAGTCTGGAATCAAATTCCACTTCACTTTTGTACCACCTCTACACATAATTCTAAGACAACAAGAGAGATCCCTGTATTTAAAACTAAGTGTGAAGAAGAATCTTGTTTTAATTGGCAGACTAAATTGAGTTTGGTGTGCAAACATGAAATCCTAGTGTAGGACTGATTTAAAATAAGTTGCTCCTCTTTTAGTGCCATCTGGTGGCCATAAAGAGTCATTACCAGAATCCCATAGTATTTGACTATTCAGTTATTTTGGCTCTCTTCGTTTCTGTTTTCCACAGTTTTAATTGTAGCCAGCTGAGTTAAGAGGAAGCTCCCAAACTATTAGTCCTGAGGATTCTCAGAGAGGGAATGAAGATAAAAATAAGATTTATATTAGCCTGGTGTCCGTGGCTCAAGCCTGTAATCCTAGCCATTCAGGAGCTGAGATATGAGGATCACAGTTCAAAGCCAACACCAGCAGGAAAGTCCATGAAACTCTTATCTCCAATAAACCACCTGAAAACCAGAAGTGTCGCTGTAGCTCAAGTGGTAGAGTGCTAGCCTTGAGCTGAAGAGCTGAGGGACAGTGCTCAGGCCCAGAGTTCAAGCCCCATGTCTGACAGGAAAATAATTATTTCACTGTAAAGAACCCTGATAAGCTTCTCTGGAGGTTTTTTTAGTCTTACCATTTTCTCATCACCAAATTAATCACCAGTTCATTAGAGGAAAAAATATTTACAGTAACTTCAGCCATAGGTCAAAAGCTTTTAAATATTCAAGAAGCTCAATTGGCAGCAGAACTATCTTGAGATATATATTCCTTGCTGCTAAGCAGCAGGACAAACATTTCTAATTGGCCATGGTTGTGAAGGTCAAATCCAGTGTATTTGGGCTGGAAGCAACAATGGCCTATGTGTGATTTGCAGCTAGCAGTTGCCTTTGTTTCTTACAGTTCATATTTCTGCACATAGTTA